AATATTTAGGGGAACACTATGTAAAGTATATGATTATCTAACCACTAAGCTGTACACCTGAAACTAATACAAAAGAAAATTGAAATAAAAGAAATAAGAAACAGGAAAGAACCCTAATTTCCCAGCAAAAGAGTGTGGAATGAACTCATTCATGCTGAATTTATTCTTCTTACTACATACTCCTTTGCATAAAAGCAGATAGCTTAATAGGACTATGGAATGGCATACTAAAGACTTTTTGAAACCAGCTAAGAGTGCATGACCTCTAAGAATGGGGTTCTATTTTATAGGATGCAGATATGCTTTGACTCAGTACCCAATGTCAAGGAGGGGGAGAATCCTCCACACCCCTACTTTAGTTCTTATAGCTGGATTAGTAATAAAAGAATATAATCGACTCAAGTCTTGATTAACAGGAGAAAAACCAACTTAATACATGTGAATGGAAGAATCACAGTAAGATGCTCAGATCACAAAATGAGGCTCAAAGAAATGAGAGAACCAGGCACCTTTATTCTCTTTGACAAACAATACATTTATGATAAATTTACAGGACAAAGAATATTAATGCTCATTAGAAAGGGGTCTAAGCAAGATCTGGTTTTCATTAATGAAGAATTTAAACATATAGCAAGTCAGAAAAGAGGCAATAAGACTTGATTAAGCCTCGCTGGTGTGGTTTAGTGGTTGAGCATTGATCTAAACAAGGAGGTCATGGTTTCGGACTCTATCTCCAGTAGGGGACCTGCAGAAGGTAGAAGATCAATAATTCTCTCTCATCATTCATGTTTCTATCTTCCTCCCTTTTCCTTCCTCTCTGAAATTAAAAAAACAACAACAAAACATAAAAAAGAGATTTGATTAAAATGAATTTTCAGCTCTGAGTTGTTTAACTCTAATAATAAGTGTGTGTTCCAGGAGTGGGGAGGACATCTTTCACATTGGAGATTTATTTTCTGCATTAAAAAAGACAAGGTATGTCCAGGTGCCCTTCTGGCACCGGATGGATATCAAGTAACTTTAATTCAAAGTAATCAATATATCATTGTGGGATATTTTAGGGTGGCCTATCCTGAACTCTAAAAGTTCCCTGGAAGTTTCACCTATAAAAAGATGGGCTGGAGGCTTCAGAGAGAGAGAAAATGGGTTAAAATCTGAGTCGTAAAATATCTACAAAGAGATAGAAAAAAATTATAACGAGGACAAACAAACAGAAGAGAACGAACTGGATCACATTTTCCCATACCCCATTAAATCAGTCTCTGATTTCTAGAAATAAATCAGTCCAATACAGTGTCTCTGCTTTATTTATCTGGTGGAAGATATTAATCCTCCCTTTTAATAGACTTAGGTTAGATACTCAATGTCCCATTTGGTTTACATAGAAGCAACATTCTTCACTGATGATTGCACAGGTTTCTCCTTGCTGGGCAGTCAGTGTATCCAGGGCCTGAAGAGTTTGGAGCACAACAAAGACTAAGCTATTAACTTCTGACTTGCGGTTTTCCCAAAATTTGCATAGTGGCATTGAACTCTTGTTTTATTACCATGAAGACATTCAAGATCACTTTTTCCAATTTATAATTTCCAAAGCTGAGGAATAAGACCCTCAACCCTCAAAGGTACTTGGAATTATGACACACGAGTGCATTTGCTCCAATTTCTCAACTGGCACATTGTTGTGGCATATCTTTAGGAACCAAGCTGCCCGAATCTGTAATTTGGCTGGCATTTACTGCAGAGTATTTAGGGACAGAAAGAGACCTGGCTCAGTTATCCAAGTCCCTATCATCCTAAGCATTTAGGTGGGAACCCTTTATATACTTTATTGTCACATAACATAAAAAGACCATGACGCTTACCAATCAGGTCAAAGTGAAGTCTATAATTCCTAGGACCTAAAATATCTCATGATTTTATTCAGCATTGGTACATCTTGGCAATCTCTGACAGCAGAGCAGACTGCAAAAGCGCTGGTATAGAAGGCCTATCGTCTGTTTTTGGCAGCTATATAGCTTGATTCTGTTAGTTGGCTAAGTAGGTCCAGATTTTTGGTTCATGCCTGTATAGTGTGGCACTGAGCAGCTAAATCACAGGAGCAGCTATAGTATCCCAAGTTTCACCAAAACATTTGGTGATTTGAGAGATATTTGTCATCAATAAGGTAATGCTACAGTCACGTATAAACTCCTTGGCACTTTTGAAGATGGCATCTATGGAATCAAACCACAGAGTTTGATTGCAATGTTATTATGGTATGTTACCCAGGAAAAGTCCAATATGATGGCAGAAACTCTGATAGCCCCATGCTGGAAAATTAGTGGGGTGTGAGTTTATTTGTAATGCATAAGCAGCATTGCTGTTTATAAACCAGATTATGGTGAGGACACCTGATAAGGACATTGGGAAAATCTGACATGTAGTGCCCTAGAGTAGGAGTTCAAAGTTGTTCTTAAAAGGACCAATACACAGAGATACAAATAAATATAACTTTGTCTTTTCATACATGCTACAAAGAATTAGTGTTATCTTTTTGTGTAAAAGAATCAAAGAACAAGAGTCAGAGACAAAAATTTGAAGTGACAGCAACATACCCGACTGGCTTTATTAGGTTTATTACATACAAGTTAGACAGTTAGACTGTAACCATATTTGCTGGTTGCATTCTGAAAAGTAATTTTCTGCTATAATAAAATTTCATTTTAATTCTACTTTAATTCAATAAATAAAATTCTGCTTCATGTCTCATTCAGGTATTTCGATTTGCTAGAATAAATAGAATGGACTTTTCAATCCAGAAATAAATGAATCAATGATGCCATCATTAATACAAAATGATCGTATGATTTGAGAAATATTTTGAGGGAGATAAAGTGGTCAATTTATTAAGATATACTATTTGTGTTTTATATTTGCAAGTCTACAAATATAGGCTGATCTATTTAAGAGAACACATTTAAGGTTTTTAATATATACTAGAGGCCTGATGCACGAAATTCATGCAAGGGTAGGCCTTCCTTCCTGCCGGCACTGGCTTCTCTCTGGCACACAGGACCCGGGCTTCCCTCACAGCCCCGCCTTCATCTGGAAGGCTGTCCAGAAGGACGTCCAGTCTAATTAGCATATTATGATTTTATTATTATAGATTTATTTTGTGTTTATTTTGATATATTTATATATTATTTCCATCTCAATTTAATTTCTCTTTTCTTTGAAATTATATTATATTTTTACTACTTAGTTTCCCCACAGATATGTGCATTTCCAGGTAAAGGCAGTAAAAATTGATATGCTTTTATAATTTATCTTGCTGCCATCTCTTCCCTTGTTTGTGCAGGAATCCAGGAACGCCCATTGTTTCCTTGCTTGCTTATTTGGCTTCAAGATACTGAGCCTGTTCCTTACTCGCAATTCAGCCTTCTCTGCTTAGCTGTCTACCCTGGGAGGATGACCATAAAAATTTATTACATGGATTTCCTTGCCTGTGAGATTTTTATTGGATCCCAGTGATGAAAGCAATAAGAGAAGGAGAGAGGTATGGGTACTATCCTGCTCTCTCCATGGTGGGGACTGTGTTATGGTGCAGTAGTTACATACCTTCACAGCAACAGGTCCCACTGGTGGCTTTTTGTTCACTCTCTCAACGCTCATTCAGGCTCTGGTGTTAGTATTTGATCCTTCTGCCCCATCAAGTCTCAGCACACTACCAGCTCCACTGTGGCTAGACCCAGAATGCCTCAACATACTTTGTTGGTTCACTAATCCTGTTCATTATATATAAGAAGATCCTTTATTAAATATCTTTTTTTTTTTTTAAATTAAGGGCTTCTGGTTTATTCTGGGAAAATGACATATCAGCTGTTGATAGGTAATCTACACTAATAAAAGAGAAACATGGTAATTGGCATACGACCGCTACCCTTCCCATTGGCTAATCAGCAAGATATGCAAATTAACTGACAGCCAAGATGGTGACTGGCAGCCAGACAGCTTAAACTGAACATGAGGCTTGCTTGCTTCTTTGACGGAGGAAACCAAACTTCCCCACCTGCCGCTGCAGGCCTCTGAGTGGGAAGTTTGAAACATAGTAACATATAGAAGCTAAAAAAAACTCCAGAAACCTGCTTTCATCGAGCAGGGATCTCAGAGCTGGAGTCAGAGCTGGAGTTATACACCCATGCACCAGGCCTCTCTTCTATATAGTAAAAGGGTAATATGCCTACTGACCCTAACTGCAGAAGGACTGGGAATGACTGATCACTATGACACACACTGACCACCAGGGGGCAGATGCTCAATGCAGGAGCTGCCCTCTGATGGTCAGGATGCTCTCACATGAGAGGAGCTCTGCTCAGCCACAAGCCAGGCTGATGGCTGCCCGCCCCCCTCCCCTATGGGCCCTGCTCTGTGTGTGACGGGGTAGAGCCATAACTTCCCCATTGGCCCTGCCCTGAGTGTGAGAGTGGTGGCGTCCCAACCCCCTGATCCATCCTGCTCTCTGTGTGACAAGGGGCGGTGCCCCAACTCCCCTATCAGCCCTACTCTCTGAGTGACGGGGGGAGCTCCTCAACCCCCTGATGGGCCCTGCTCTGTGAGTGATAGGGGGTGGCGCAGCAACCTCCCCATCGACCCTGCCTTGAGTGTGACAGGGGGCGGTGCCCCAACCCCCGAATCGGCCCTACCCTGAGCGTGACTGGGGGTGGCATCGCAACTTCCCGATCCGCCCTGCTCTGTGCATGACAGGGGGCGGTGCCCCAACTCCCCAATGGGCCCTGCTCTGAGCCCGACCAGGGGCTGCACCTAGGGATTGGGCCTGCCCTCTGCCACCCGGGAGCAGGCCTAAGCCAGCAGGTCGTTATCTCCCGAGGGGGCCCAGACTGCGAGAGGGCACAGGCCAGGCTGAGGGACTTCCCCTTCCCCCCGAGTGCACAAATTTTTGTGCACCGGGCCTCTAGTAAAATATAGGATAGAGTGGTAGTTATTATGACAGCAATTGGTGCTTATTGTTGCTCAAATAGTACTTTATTATTTTGGTGTGCTGGTTAGACCAGGGTTGATTCCAATGAAGTAGCTGCAGTTTATTTTTCCTAACAGCTCAGAACATTTCTCATATCTTCAACCAAAATAGGAAGCAATATTCTCAAAAAAACGCTTTATAGCTGCTTTGATAACTGCTGTAGTGCTTAATGTAGTGTGATTGGGAGTTGTCACTTGAATAGTGGTACTGGGTAATGGGGTAGAGGGAGAGTTAGTGGTAATTTGAATGGTGGTAGACGCTGAGGGGGTTGCTGCTGATGTTGTGGTAGTGAGGTCTGTTGAAGTGGTAGGTAGTGTTAAGGAGGTGGTGGCTTCAGTTGTAGTGATGGTTGGTTCTGTGGAAATGCTGCTGGTGATGGTTGTAGTAGTTGGGTCTGTGGAAGTGGTGGTGGCTATTGTTGTGGGAGATTCTGTGGAAAATATGGTGGTTGTGATGGTTGTGGGTTCTGTGGAAGTGATGGTGGCTGTTGTGGGAGGTTCTGTGGAAGTGGTGGTTGCTGTTGTGGGAGGTTCTGTGGAAGGGAGGGTGGCTGTTGTGGGAGGTTCTGTGGAAGTGAGGGTGGCTGTTGTGGGAGGTTCTGTGGAAGGGAGGGTGGCTGTTGTGGGAGGTTCTGTGGAAGGGAGGGTGGCTGTTGTGGGAGGTTCTGTGGAAGGGAGGGTGGCTGTTGTGGGAGGTTCTGTGGAAGGGAGGGTGGCTGTTGTGGGAGGTTCTGTGGAAGGGAGGGTGGCTGTTGTGGGAGGTTCTGTGGAAGGGAGGGTGGCTGTTGTGGGAGGTTCTGTGGAAGGGAGGGTGGCTGTTGTGGGAGGTTCTGTGGAAGGGAGGGTGGCTGTTGTGGGAGGTTCTGTGGAAGGGAGGGTGGCTGTTGTGGGAGGTTCTGTGGAAGTGATGGTGGTTGCTGTTGTGGGAGGTTCCGTGGAAGTGATGGTTGCTGTTGTGGGAGGTTCTGTGGAAGTGAGGGTGGCTGTTGTGGGAGGTTCTGTGGAAGTGAGGGTGGTTGCTGTTGTGGGAGGTTCTGTGGAAGTGGTGGTGATTGTTGTGGAAGTGGCTTCTTTGGGAACAATTGTGGTTGCTATTGTAGTGGTTTCTGTGTAAGTAGTGGTGGTGGGCTCTGTGGAAGTGGTATCTGGTGTGGTGGTGGGTTCTGTAGAAGTGGTGGTTGCTGTTGTTGTGGCAGGTTCTGTGGAAGTGGTGGAGGCTGTTGTGGTGGGTTCTGTGGAAGTGTTATCTGATGTTGGGGTGGTGGGTTCTGTGGCAGTGGTGGTCATTTCTATTGTAGTGGGTTCCATGGAAGTGGTGGTTATTGCTAATGTAGTGGGTACCATGGGAGCAGTGGTGGGTTCTGTGGAAGTGGTGATAATTGTAGTGGTGGTAGGTTCTGTAGTGGTAGGGGTTGTGGTTCTAGATTTGGGAGTTGTTTTAATTGCAGGTTGAGGTTTATCAGGATATGGAAAAACGGGATATAAGGGTTTTGGCTTCCTAATAGGTACTGGAGGGTAAGGTCTTGGTTGAAAAGGTGGATTTGGATAAACTGGAAAAGGTCGAGGTTGTCTATTAGGGTTTGATGGAAAGGGTCCAAAGGGAGGAGGACGAACGTTCCCCGATGGCTGAAAAAAAGGAGGAGGGTGGGGTGGTGGGATAAATCCTGGGCCATAGGGAGGATTAAGGCCTGGCGGAAATCCTCTTGGCGGGGGCGGACCAGGTGGTGGCCGCAGGACAGGTCCGTAGGGTCTCCTGGGAGCTCTCTGGCTGTCACTGGGCTGTGGTGATAAAAATCAAACAGAAACACAAAAATAAGGTTTTAAATTTGATCACTTAAAGTTCAAACATTAGTATATGTCATTTAAAATCTGTTACAGTCATATATTTCATTGAAAAAATAAGTTAGAAGAAAGAGTAGAATATTTTCCTCCCTTCTGGAACTCTAGCACTCAGTAAAAAGTGGCATTGTATGAAATGCGAAAACAAAACAAAACAAAAGACAACATGACTTTCAGACCTAAAGGTTTTAGAGGGGATCAAATCACCTTGATTAACTAATGAAAATGGCTACCTTTGGAAGTTGGTTCTAGTGGAAGTAAGTGCTCCGGTGTAATGACTAGCATACATTTGGTCTTGCCCAAGATGTCCACAGAGACATTTGGTCCATATCAACCCATGTACCTCACCCCATGTGCTATGACCACCTAGGCTCCCTGGGTGAGAAGGGTCATCATTGGCAATGCAGCCATAACACAATTATTGAATCAATAAAACATGGTAGTCTTTTTTATGTATTAATCCTGTAAACCAAACGTATAAATAAACATACTGGGCTGTTTGGACCCAGGGACATTTTCTAAGCATGGATAGTTTGGACAGGATTAAATTTCAAAAATCTTTTGGCATGGACCAAATGTTCCTGTGGACACTTTGCACAGGACCAAATACCCGACAAGGCAGTAGAACTACTTGGGGATGTTCTTTCTTACTCCCCATTCCAATAAATCAGTGAGATTCCAGGCTCTGAACCATTAGTTAATTGTGTTTATTGAGAAACTATTATATATAACACATCTTTTAAGGGCTAAGGAAAACATATTTAAGAAATGAGCCCCTGCTTATATAAGTCTGAAATCCAGTAGAAACCAAAAACCCCAAACCACAACTCAAATAATACAATAAAAAGTCTGTAGGAAGCAGTGTGATGTGTTACTTAAGACAAAGACACTGAAGTCTGATTGTTAGAACCAACCCTTCCTCTGTAGCAAGCTAACTGAGGTGTTTACACTCTCTCTGCCATGGTCTCCTCATTTCTGAAATAATTCTAGAAATATTTCTGATCTTATACAGTGGTTGATAAGATTATGCATAATTTATGCATAGCGCTTAGACATAGTAAATAAAGTAAGGAATCAATATACATTTGAGCTATTTCATAATCTATGATTGCCAGGGTAGCAATTGCCAGTTTGCATATATGATAGCAGTTCAAATTATAATTGACAAATGTGCAAAAAATTGTATATGTAATAGCAATTTGAAGGGAAAGTATGTTTTTGACAAAAGAGAGATTAAGGATTGCCTAGTAGAAAAGATAGCATTTAAAATGAGGCTTAATTAATAGAGTAGAAATGGGGGGAGAGGAAATAAAATTAAATGAATTTTATAAGCCAATGAACAGTGTCAGGAAAATACAAATCCTATTCTAGAAGCAGTCAAAACACCAGTTTGAACAGAAGTTTCAGTCACTCTTGCAGCATTCAACTTCTTGCCTCTGTGTCTTTCTTCCATATTGACTTAGGCAACATCAAACTTTTAGATCAACTCTAGACAATTTACCTTCTCTGTTTCTACTTGCAGGCTGGTGAACATTGCAAGAGAATCTCGCCAATCCCTAAATATCAGAAACACTAGAGATGCACAGTGTGTCCCCTCATCTGGTACCTCAGCAGTGCTAATTCATTGTTCCCTATTTCCCCCGAAAGGCTGTCTTCTCAACATCCACACGCCTTCTCCAGCTCTCTTCCCTCCCACTCCCTAGAAAGGTGATCTTGCCTTCTATTTCACAGAATTGAGGATATCACACGGAGGACTTTGCTTTTCTGCCCACACACCTATAAAACCCACCTATATACAATTGTTCTCCCTTCCTGTTTACATCCAACTTCTTCACCTGTATTCAGTATGGATTGATCTCTTCCTTCCTATGGCCTTCTCTTAATTATCACTTTCCCCTTCGACCTCTTTTTTATTTCTGGCTTTATGGTCTCAGGCTATATAATTTCAATTTACATCTCATATACTGAAGTAGCTCATTGACCACCTAGTGTACCCGTGCACTATCATCACTAGTTACCCCCTTTCCATTTCTAGCCAGATACTGGGGAAGGCTGAACTAGATTTCCTGTTTCTACTTCCTAATATCCAATTTGCTATTTATCCTGGAATCTATTCCCAACACATAACCTCATCTCTTTTTACAAAGATCAGCAATGACTCAACAATGACACGAAGAATTTAGCATAGAATTTGGCCTATTTTGATTGTCAATGAAACTAAAAGTTACTTTTTGTAAACTTCTTAATAATGCTGGACTAATTTTATGATTATTTTATAAATGATATATTAGGCTTTTACATGCCCTATTGCCTCGGAATGTGCCTCTGGAGCTTAGGAGTTAACGAATGAAAGCTGTGGGCCTAAGGCACCTTGCCTGGTTTGGTAAATAAAATTTTATCGGGAAAAGTCATACTTATTTGTTTATTGTGGCTGCTTTTGTTCTTTCTAGGCTGAGTTGATTGGTTGTATTAAGAGATTTTATGGCCCACAAAGCCTAAAATATTTAGTACCTGGCCCTTTTGGGAAAAAGTTTGTTAATCTCTGGCTATTATTTCCAATCTACCCTGTATTCTCAGATAGATTTTTGTACAGGACTATTACACTACTGTCAACGGGCAGCATTAAATAAATATTTATGGGTGCGGTTCAGATATTTAGGAGTTTCTTTTTCTGACAAACATCACCAAATATGGGAAGTGAGGGTGTGTGGGAAGAGACTATATCTAAACCTGATTTCATGCACTAGTATCTTTGCACATCACTCAAACTAAAATCCCAAACTAGTGGAAGGCTTATGAGACTCTATGCTATCTAACTCTCCTCTATCCCTCTGCTCTCACCTCCTGATCCTGTCTTCCTTTCTGACTGTTTGAGGCCTACTTGTTCCGCATGAGAGATATGCCTGCCAATTTTGGCATTTCCTGTTTTCTCTCATGGTCTAGTTTGCTTTTTCACCTCCTTCAAGTCTCTAATTAAATGTCATTTTGTACCTCACTGTCCTAGTGCAACATTGTTCTATTCCCCTCTTACCCCTCCTAAGAGTCACCATTCTCTCCTCCCTTTCCTGCACTACACATAAGCTCCATGATGTTAGTAAGGTTTTTGTCTACTTTGCTCACTGCCATTTACCCAACATCTCGAATAGTACATGGTAGACAGCAGGTGTTTAATAAATATTTCTTGGTGAATGAATTACATGAGTTAGTGATAAGCAGAAATTACCCTAACTTGAATTGTCTGCTAATTCCCTCCTTGCACAAGGTAAGGAGTGTAAGACTCTTTCCTTGAAGGTATTTGAGGGGAGCAAATACTTAAGTCCTCATTTTTTCTAATTTTGGTTTTATGACTTCTGCTGACCAGGGCCTTGCAATCAAAATGTGAGTCACTGACCAAGATCATCAACATCATCACCATCTGAGAGCTGGTTAAAAATGTAGATTCCTGGGCCCCTTGCAGGTCTAGTATCTATTTCTACACAATCCTCTGGTGATTTGTGTGCCTTGTAGAATTTGTGGAATTTTAGAAATGCCAGCTGGCGTATGTTATTTGAAAACTGCTTATAGATTGTTCAATTCTGACCAGGGGTTTGATTCATTTATGCTGATTATCACTTGTTTTTTCTTATACTCTCACTTTTTTCTGCTTTTTGGTCTTAAAGATTAGAAATTGCCACCCTTACTGCTCTTTTCCAAACAGCTTT